TAATCATTGGCGCTAAATTATAAATGATATATATTATTATAAATGAATTAAATTATAAATGAATATATTCAATTTAATTATTTTTATTATAATATTTTTTAATATTATTCTTATTAAGTTAATATATATGTATAAGATAATTGTTATGTATAAATACTTAATTAAAAATAATTTTTTTCAGAACATGCATCACTAGATATAATACAAAATGCAATGGGTGTGATGGGTCCATGGCATATTGTTATTGCTGTGGCATTGTCTCTTGTAAAATTTCCAGTTGCTTGGCATCAACTTTCTATTATATTTCTTGCACCTCCGACTAATTTTTCATGTGCTGCACCAATATCAAAAACCAATGAATCTACAATAATGAAATGTTATGTAGATATAGGAAATGGTACTATGGAAAAATGTACAATTTTTAAATATGACAAGCGTATATTTAAAGAAAGCATTATAACTCAAGTAAATTTAGTTTAATTCATTATTATATTTCAAATGAATGAATTATTACTTATATTATAAATTTTTAGTGGGATTTAGTTTGTGATAGAGAACAATTGACAAATGTTGTACAGTCTTGTATAATGTTTGGAGTACTTATTGGTAATTTAGTTTTTAGTATAATGGCTGATCGGTATGTTAAATATTATTATAATGAAATGAACAAAAAAAAAATTTATGATATATATATAATTGAAAAAATCAATTAATTGTATCTTTATATTTTTTATTTTCAGAATAGGTAGAAAAAAACCTTTGATGATTGCTATAGGATTACAATCATTAACAGGATTTATAAGTGCATTTATTCCATGGTTTGAATTATTTGTGATATTTAAATTCATTTCTGCTATAGCTACAGGTGGTACTATGCTTGTCAGTTTTGTTTTACGTAAGTAATTCATAAATTAAATAAATAATAGAAAATAATATATAAATTTATTTAATAAATTACAGTTATGGAGATTGTAGGAATAGAATGGCGTTCCATTATGTCAGTTCTCTTTCATGTACCATTTTTATTAGGTCATTTAATGAATCCTTTAATTTCATATTTAACACGTACATGGGATGGTTTTCAAATGGCAGTTTCTATACCATCACTTTTTTTATTATCATATTATTGGTATGTGATACCATTTATATAGTCAAATTATTAAGTTATAAACTTTTTTAATATATTTATTTTTAATCAAACTGAAATAAATTTTAGATAGATTTTTTTTACATTGTAGGATTATACCCGAATCACCAAGATGGTTATTTGCTGTTGGGAAGTTATCAAAAGCAGAACAAATTTTAATTAAAGCAGCTGGTAGAAATAAAATACCAATAGAGAATGTTAAAACAGCAATTGAAACATATGAATGTAATATAGGAATTTACCATAAACAAAATGTAGAAAAATATAATATTACACATTTATTTAGAACTCCAAATTTAAGATTAAAAACTATTTTTATATGTATTAATTGGTTTATATGTGGTAGTTGTTTCTTTGGATTAACACAATATATGGGTTATATTGATGGTAATATTTTTATAAATGTTGCTGTATCAGGTAAATTTATATAATATGCATTTTTATTTAAAAAAGAGAGAATATGTATTTAAAATTTAATGTATTTTCAGCTGCTATTGAATTACCTGGAACTATATTAGTTTTATTTCTAATATCACGTGTATCACGTTTAAAAATTTTAATAAGTGCAAATCTTCTATCTGCTGCAAGTTTGCTTTTGTTAATTGTAATGTCAAATTCACGTTTTACGATAATTTTAACTATATTAGGTCTTGCGGGAATGTCACTCAGTTTTCCAACTGTATACCTATATAGTAGTGAAGTATTTCCAACTGTAATCAGAAATATTGGTATTGGTCTAGGAAGTGTTTGTGCAAGGACTGGAAGCATGATTGCACCATATATCGCTACAATGGTCATATTTTTTCGTCTAATACATTTATATTTACATATTTATAATTTATAATTTATGTGTATAATGTAATAATCTTATATTGCGAATTACATATTTTCAGGGAAAAATTAAATCTTGGTTACCACCATTAATATTTGGAAGTGGACTATTATTTGGTGCTTTTTTATGTTTCTTTTTACCAGAAACAATGAACTGTGAATTACCAGAAACTATTGAAGATAGTGAAAATTTTGGAAAGTTAGTACAAAATAATATGATTTTAATTATTATCTTATTACTCTATTTTTTGAAATAACTTAATATGATTATCGATCTTTATAGAAAACGAAGTGGAAAAAATGCAATAAAATAATATTTATTTACAACTTATAAGAAAAACAATAGAATAACGAAACAAATCCTGTGTAATTGATATATATAAAATAAAAATTTTTTGATATACATATGTATATAAAATATTGAAATCATTTAATTGCTTAATATAATAGTAATTACTTAATATAATAGTAATTTTAATATAATAATAGTAATTGCTTAATATAATAGTAAATTTAAAAGATTATATCTTAAATAACAACAAATTTAATATTTGAAAAATAATATGTTTATAATTATAATAAATATATATTTTTATATAACTTATTATTTAATTTATTTTTACATTCTTGCATTAATTCAATAAATATAAATATATAATATTGTACATTAATATAATAAATATTATTAACAAAATTTTTATTAAAATAATAAAAACTAAAAAATTGTATGAATGTAAATATATATGTTTTATTTTTTTATATTAACTTTTACAAATTGTAAATTTTATAATATGATATTTGCTTTATTTTATAGAAAGAGAGATCCTTATTCTATTTAATACTATTTTTAAAATTTATATATTTTTGTATATAATATGTTATATATAATAAACAATATATATTTATTTATTATTAAAAATAATTTATTTATTAAAAAAATAGTAAATTTTTTTTTAAATTTTTGTTTATAAATTGTATAAATATGTAAAAATAATATTAGATATTTATATGAGACATAACTAATAATAAGTCAGTCTTTTTTACATTTACATTTTTTACATTCAAAATTAATGCATTTAGTACAAAAAAGATAAAGTCTTTTATTAAAATAAAATTCGTTTATTAGAATATTGTAGTCAAATTACATAAATATTTTATTAATTAAATTTTTCTTTTCAAGATTAGATTTGTTTTAATGAAAAATAATTAAATATTATCTTTTTGAAAAGCATAAATAAAAAGGAAGAAAAAATCTGAAATTTTAGTGGGTTTTATATTTTGATGAAAATAAAAAAAATATAATTTAATTTGTAGTTTGACCTAAATAAAGTATTTTACTTGGTAAAACACTAACTACATCATTAGTTTTTTTATGGACAGCATCAAACATATGATTACCATACTTGACAGTTTTATTAAAAGGTTCAAGCCATGAAGACATAATATTCTTAGATGATGTTTTTTCTATATGATTTGTTGTTCCTAAAATACATCTAGTTGTTATATAATGAAGTATATATAAATATTTATTAAATTGCTTACCCATAAAAAATTTTAAAATTGCTTCATTTACTATATCTGGCTTTTGTTGATGTGGAAAATGTTGAGCTCCTGATATTACTTTTACATTACATTTTTCAATATATTCAGAACTTTGTACAATATTTTCTATTGTTACAATTGGATCTATATTTCCAATTATAAGTAAAGTTTGAGTAGAAATTTGATCACAAGAATCTATATTAAGCTTTATAAAAGGAAGATTTCTGTAATAATTAATAGCTCCAGTCCAATCCTCTGTAATTAATTATTTTAATCTTATCTTTTATGTATAAATATTATACTAAATTTTATATATATATATAATAGATTATTGTCAAACTTTTAATGTTTATTTACCTTTTCTACTAAATGCATATTTGTATGCTTCTACATAATCTTTCTCAGTATTTGTATTATTTAATTGAAGATGTTGAAATGCATCATTTATAATTGATAAATCTTCTTTAAGAGCATCAATCTCAGGAAAAAATGGTAATCTACTAAAATGTATCCATCTAAATAATAATATAAATAATATAAATAAATAAATATATTTATCATATATATATTATTTTCTAAAAAGTTTAAACATTTAATAGATTTACTTCAAATCAAAGATAGAATCTCCTAATCTTCTGTTCCAATAGAAATTAGGATGTGGACATGAAACTGCAACAAATTTATCAATCATATCTCCATATAAGGCTACTATATACCATCCTAAAAGTCCTCCTAAATCATGGCCAATTATGCTACACTGTTTTACTCCAAAAGTTAAAATAATTTGTTTTAATTCTTCAATTAAGACTTGAATTTTATAACAACTTTTAGCTGCTGGTTTATCACTATCTCCAAATCCTTTTAAATCTATTGCAATTACTCTGAATAAATAAAAAAAAAAAAAATTTATACAAAAATAATTTTATAATTTTATTAAAATTATAAAAAAGATATAATAGAAAAAATATAATAGAAAAATATAAATTATACCTATAATATTTAGCAAGACATGGTATTTGTTTTCTCCAAGATAACCAACAATCAGGAAATCCATGTAAAAGTAATATAAGTGATTCATTTTTATTTCCAGCTTCTACATAATGAAATTTTACATTCTATACAAAAAATATAAAATTTTTTAAATTATAAAAAATTCTTTTTCTATTATTTTATTATTTTATCGTTTTGTTGATTATATAATAATATTTTAAATATTATTAAATTAAAAATTTATTTCATTTAAAGTTTTGTTATTTGTAATTTTTTAATTTTTTCTTTTAATATTTTTCGAGTGAATTTTAAATTTATATCAATAAATGTGAATAATAAAACATTAGTGATATTAAATGACAATAAAAACGATACAAATTGAATTTTTCTTCAAATTTAAAAAAAAATTAATATAATTTTTTTCAATATTTATTAAAAAGATATCATAATCGAAATCTAATGTATTAGATTATATTTTATTAATATATTTATTAAAAAGATTTTATAATCAATCGAAATTTAATGTGTATATCAGATTATATTTTATTAATAGATTCCTAAAAATTATTAGAAATTAATGATTATTGTATATTTTTTAAACACTTTTAAATTTGAAATTGCATTATATTATTGAATTATTTTATATACGTACCTTGATTTTTATATAAGAATGAATTCCTAAGTTATTATCTATCAAACAAGGTGGGGGTTTATCTCGCTGTTGCATCATAAAAAACTTTTTAGGATCCCAGATCCATTTAAGAAATCTTTTCACTATTAAATACAATCCATATATAAAAGAGAGAAGATGTAATTTAATTATTTCTAAAATTGATGCATGAACAATTTTATTATTTGTAAACATGATTATTTAAGAATAAAAATTTCTTTAAATTTATTCGTGACGTGTTAAGTTTATTTGAATCATACATCAAAACAAAATGACTTTAAATTTTTATAAATGTATATATATAGAAGAATATTCAACATATAGATGTACGTTTTAAAATATCTGCATCTTTCACAATTGAACAAATAATAATCAGATAATGCTTCAATTTAATAATTTGAAAATATAAATTAATATCGTTCACAAAGTTAATTATACATAAAACAAAATTCTGCGATTTCAGCAAAGTTGACAATGTATTACTGATTAAAGCTTTCATCTTCATATATAAAAGAGTAGAGGTCATATCATGAGAAGCGAGGTACCTCCTTATCGGATCTATACTCAATGTTAAAATGAATTTTACTAAAGTTGTACAATCAAATGTTCCTAGAAATTTTATTTCTTAAAAACATTATAAATGATATCTTAAATAAGAAAATAAAAAATTTTAGAAATTATATGACATAATTTTGAATAAATATAATATTCGCATTTTATATGTTACAATTACATAATATAATAAGTATATGAAATAACTAATATTATAATATTATTATTTTTCAGAATATTATTTGTCAAAATTTTATATTATCACTATTTTATATTAATTAAAAATAAAACATTAGTTCTTTTTTTAATTTCATTCCTATATAATATATAAAATTCTTGAATATATGAATATATGAAATTCTTTATACACAATATATTAATATTTGTAAGACACTTTTAAGAATTTGATTCTAAATGTAAAAAAAAAAAAAAAAAAAGAAAAGTAAAAATTAATATATATAATAGTTATTTATTAAATTATAAGCAAGTTAAATTTGTATTAGATAAAACAAGTGCGAAAACAAAGTGCAATACTGTAATAAAGACAAAACGGTCTCAATATGAATAATATAAATATTTATAATGTAATAAATAAGTTTTAATATTTTTATATATGTTTTGTACATGTTTCTCTGAAAGCGATCCTTTAAGAATGTTCGAAAAATAATTAACAACTTATAAAAAAATATAATAATATAAAAAAGTTAATATCGAGTTTGCAATATTCATATTATTGACATATTATTATATATTATATTATTAGCAATTATTTTTTTTTCCAATAAAAATTATTATTTTTTTACTCAAGGATAAGATAAATAGGATTTAAATATATATATATATATAATAAATATGTATATAATTTATTAATAAAATGTACTAAAATATATATAAAATAGCATTTATTTCATTTATGCAATTAGAAAACAGAATTTAAAGTAATTTATATATAATATATAATATATAAATATTATTATAACAATAATACTAGTATTAAACATTTGATTTATTATATCTACTTTATCGACATGATATTTAAGCAGTATTAATCATAAATGAAATGTATAATTTTATAATACAATATAAATCTTAAATCTTATAAAATTTTTTTTCATCTGTGTTCTACAAACAATGAAAAGTTCTGAAAGAAAAGAATCTGAAATACCGATCGCGCAAAAGATAAGATTAATATGTTCATAAACGATACACATAATATAAAATGTTTTTTTTTGTTTTACAATTTGAAATATAGAATAGATAATAAGAGAGAATAGACCAATTATGCAATGTATTTTTGTATAAATTCTTGAGGTTCTTTTTTTCATTCTATTTTCATTTTTGTGTCACTCGCATCATTACCAACAGAATGCAGAATCTGCATTCATTGGATGGGAATTTGAACGTTTATTCTGGTGGGAATTATAAATATAGCAAATTAAATAAACACATTTTAAAATAATAAAAATCTGTAGAATAATCAATTATTTGAGATTATTATTATCTAGTCTGTGATTTAATCTGTGAACTTTTTTCATTTAATAAATTAGCTCAGCGAATAATATCATGCAAGATGGA